GGGTTTGTCTCATCAGGTATTCGTCTCATCCTCGGATCTGTTTATATGCGGGCGAGGTACAGGTCAAACTAGCGGGTGGCAGTTGGGCTCTACTGTATGATTGATATCATTGGTTTGAACTATAATGTTCAACATATCTTCAACTTTGGTGATATCAAATATTGGTGGGATGTCTATGAATATGGCAGCGCGACTAGTATGACACAAGTGACGAGCTGTATTTACAAATTGTTACGCAACAAAAGCTGCTTGTTTTCTTCAGTGTCAGAGAGATACTAAGCATTTATCGGATGCCACAAACCAGGTGAGGCGTTTGATTCTTCATGTTGATAGGTCTTAGGAAACATGACTTGAAACAAATAATGATAAAAACGTTAAGTTAAAGGTAGACTCATTCTTGTCGACGTTAAAACATGTTTATAAACAACAAAATGTGTTTCTTTTGCGAACCAAAGGTCTGTTTTTAATAAATCTTGCTATCAATATTACGTTGCAATAATTGGTATAAACTCCTGAAATATTGGCATGTTATTTTTTGAGAACAACAATTCGTTATATAAATAAACCATTTGTTATCAGTAAAATAAAACGTATGAAACGTATGAAACATCATTTTTGCATGATTGTGAAGTACATGACCACCTGTCCACTTTTTGGATGCATCCTAAATACAGTTTAGGATAACGGGTTTGTCGATCCATTTTAAAAGGTAATTTTTTTTATTTTTGTTGTTGTTTTATTTGGCGTCTTTTTTTGGATTTGTTCTCGGGCCGCGTGACCCTTGTTATCAGTTGTCTCAGGAGATTCAATGTGTTGATGTCGTCACAGAGAAGAGATAGGAATGGAACTTATGCTTGAAATTTACTTGCAATACCAGTTACGATTTAATGAAAGCAAGGATTGGTAAAACCAAAAGCGAATATTTGCTTGAAAGTTCCGTCATCTTTCGCGTAATTTGATCATTGAATCCGTCTATTTCGGAAGAAGGTGTGCTGATTTACAAAGCTTTTCCATATTTCGCACTATTCCATTCCCAACAAACAGCGACTAATTGCATTTTTTAATGGCTTTTCCTATCTCTTATTTTGTGTCACTTTCAATTTTTATTAATGTGTGTTGCTGAAAGGTCTGCTGTTGACGCAATCTTAAACTGCCTTAAAAGTTATGGAGCACCTTTAAGAGGATTTGAAACAGTTTTTCAGTCTATCTTTAAATTCAGGCTTCCTTTAAAAAATAACATGATTATTATTCGTTTATGTTGTTATCGTCTCATACCCACGTATTGGACTTACATCCCCCTCCGCCCCCCCCCCCAAAAAAAAAAAAAAAAAAATTAGCCCAAAACGCTTTTTTAAATCGAAATATATGAAAAAACAAAGCTTTTTGTATTAATAGTTCTCATCAGACAAATTATTTCGTGCTGGTATATGGAATTTTTCGGACTTGGAGTATTTGTAAGTGTGTGTTTTTGTTTGGATATATATATATATTTGTTGTTAGGGCTGTAATTATTTTGTCCTGTTAATCTATCAAAGCATGCACAGTTGCATGATTTAAGCGGAATCCATATTGATTGTTGATAATATAATTATTGCTACTCAGGTAAGAATAAAGACGTTTGCGCATACATTTTTCTAGTATTTTAGACAAAGAAGGTAAAATTGAAATACGCCTGTAATTTTCAAAAGCATGACGATCATCTTTTTTTATAAATAGGAACAATTCTAGCGATCTTTAGTTTATCTGGAACTATTCCAGTAGCTAAGGATTGAATACAAATATGTGTCACTGATTTGAAATGTGCATTGATAATTCTTTTTAAAATGACTAAGCTAATATAATCAAATCCACATGAGTTGGGTTTTTTTTCTTCGGTTATTTACATTGTTCAATAATTTCACTTTCATTTATAGATGTTAGATATAAAGTGACAGCATTAGGATTTGTCAGATAATCTTTGAAATCTGAGGATACAAAACTATCATATTCGAGCAATGAAGTAATGGGTCTGGTACATGAGTTAATGAAAGGATAATTAAATTAATTTGCAATTTGTCGTGGATCATCTACACAGTTCAATCATCATGTATAAAAAGGCTCGGGAAGAAAACTAGTCATTTATTCAAAAGGTAACGGGGTTATACCAAGTATCCAAGTAATAGTCAACACAATCATTTCTTCTATTTCTACATTCTTGATACCTAAAATAGCTTTTACATAAGCGGATTATATGAGTGGAGGGTGGATTTTTTTTAAAACCAAATTTCCTTTTGAGTTTTTACACGTGTTATGTCCCGATCAGAACGACAGATTACCTAATTCATATTTATGACAAATTCAATGTTAAGTTATTTTTCCCCCATATTTTTGTTAAATTGAGACTTGCACTTGTTCAATGTTGCCAATATTACAGTGACTTCATGACTCCATGCATGAATGATATCATAGCACCCTCCTTTCAGCCTAATTTATCTTTACTCATAATATTTGCAATGAACAATAAATTAAACTGAAACTTGTTGCACTGGCAAACAAGCGTAAAAGGGAATAGTTGTACAACTCTGTTGGCCTTTAGATACGGTCCATTAAAACAACCTATAGTCACATTTCACATTTCACCCCTCCCCCCTCTTCATTTGATTCAACACTACATGATTTCACTGCTTTATTTAAATCTGCAGTGAAACGTTGCAACCCTTGACGGCACGAAAGTCTCGTAGTTTCAACCGGTGCCTTTTATATCAGTACATGTTGATACTGACAGTGTATTTTTATTCTCATTCGGATGCATTGTACCCCTGCACGCGCGGGCAAAAACAAAACACACTTTAATAAACATTGATATTTGTATCACATAAATAAGAAACTATCTGTTATCATGAGTTGAAATTGAGGTAAACTAAAATCTTCATCATTATCATTATAATTACGATTGGACGACGTTCTACACCTATTTCCCGAACATTTGTCGTTAGATTAGTCTCTGGGATATGAACTGTTAGAATTGGTTTGAACATAGAAGCGGCGCGACCAGTATGACTTACGTGTACAGCTGCAATTACGGCGTTGCGCACCATCTAAGTTGTACCTTTTCTACACAGTCAGAAACATATCAAGCATTCGTCGGATGCCACAAACACGGTTAGGGGAAACATGATTACCTATAGTTAAAAATACATCTATGTTTTGTTTTATAATCTAAAAATGTAAAATGTATATTATCTGTCAACATTTCATATATTCAGGTATTCATGACAACGAATAATATCCCATCACGATCGTAATTACAGAAAATTGCGAGGTATACTTTCTTGGTTTGCCCTATAAAATGTTTTGGTGTAATACCTAGCATATCGCAAGCAGCACCAATACAAACATGTTAAGTGCTTGAAAAAAAGAAGATATTTTAACATTTGAACTATGGGTGTCATATGTTACAATGTAATAAGTATTTATAAGCAAATGTCAATGCTACTTTACAACAATTTAATACACAAAGGCAAACGGGCCGCTGAGATGTGTATACAACTTGCTCGATAGTTATGTTTTACCAAAATAAGGAAATTACAGAGCGAGTCGAATCTCAAGAAAAAAAAAACAGACTGACACTTTTAAAGTGGACTTAGAACATAAAAACACAAAAGGTTTAATGAAACATTTAATAAGAATTTAACATTTATTTTTCCTCTAAACGAATTATTCTCGTATTAAACTTTAAGGCTCTTAAACAAAAATATAGGTAGCTTTAAGCAGTCAAAATCTGTTTTTATATACAATATCATGTGGGATGGAAATGTGCAGTGCTTGTCGAATTAAAGTAAGTTATTTAGTTCTCAATTTATCGTTAAAAATGCGCACTTATTTCGGCATTGCATTGTTCGCGAAAGTAAAGTTATCGAGTGGCAACTCCATAAATGTCGATATACTGCTCAATAGGAAGTATTGAATTTCATGCCTGCAGTTTGACCAATTAGCAGCTTTGAACCTTTATATTTGCGGTATGTAATGATTTACATCCCATGTAATATGAAAACACCGCGTCTACTATTCATTATTAGACGCACTTTAATGGTTTTTGATTGGGAGGGTCTAATTAATATCAAACCATGACAAACAGAGGTACTAAAAATCATCATATTAATAATTCACACACGTTGTTCACTAGCGGCAAACGAATTAAAATGAATACCGTTGAAAAATGGGAGGGACTAAATTGAACGACAAATTATAAGATAATTATTAAAATGCTTTGTCTGCTAGGTGTCGGAGGGCACATTGAAAATGAAATAATGTGTCATTTGGGCTTTCAGCAACCTAAACATTTATCAGGCAAGCTTTCATCAACGTTTGATGACTTTCTCAAGCTAAATGATTCTTTAAACAGTTTCTAGTTGTCTGCTTCCTCAAGATCACTGGAGCAATGCTAAGTGACAGTGGCTAGCCATAGTCTCTAAAGGATTAAACATTTTGACCCAGATGGATTATGTCATTTTTCCTGTTTCAAAGTGGTTATTATCCCTTCCAATGCGTTTCCAGTATGGACGTGTTCTGCTACCGATGGTTGACATGGTTAATCTAAGGGATTTGTTCTTTCTTCGATCAACACTTCTGAGTTATCCATGTCTCTCCAACAAAGTTATTGCCAACATCAGTGCATGTTATCTTGCAGACAACACCTGTTCTTTCTTCTGTAGGTGATGTATCCTTTGCACAAAATAACCTCGGGGTGTTTGGTCTCCTAAAGAAATTACATCTAAACGCCGATTACCTTGCTATTAGGAAAGCTCGTTTAAAGCGTGAAGCTTATTGTATTAAAAAAAAAGGGAAGCTACACGACGCTTGTATTCTTCTTTTTTCGTAAAATTGATTATGAAAAGGTTTTCTGCAAATTTACTGTTTATAAATTGGAAATATCATGATGTAACACCATATCGATTGCGGCAATTTCACAATTTACACACCCAAACATGCACATTTGGTACAGTGTCAGTGAAACACCAAGCAACCATCGGATGCCACAAACCAGGTGAGACGTTTAACCGAAGCTAGGTGCATCTAGTGAATAGTTGACCAAGTCTCGTACGTGCATGTATGCATATTGATTTGCTACCACTTAATCGGTTTGTTCATAATGATCTCTCGGCGTTTGAATGAAATTAATGTTTCGTTCCATGTCATAATTTGTTTTCATGTTTAATATGGCTTTGTCACATCCAAATTATCCTAAAAATAATATATATTTACATATACAAAATATTTCAAGGATATTAAACTATTTGCGGTAGAAGATTGTATTATATTGGTGTTCGAAATTGTTGTCATGGAGCTGATCGAGACTGAACAAGAAAACATTCCATCGACTGGCGCGTAAACTAAATGTCGTCGTTCAAATATGCACAAGTGGCAAACGGGGGATCTTGCAGAGAGGCGAAACAAAGCCACCGAAGCGTTGACCCTAAGAAATTCACAATCGTTAATATATACAATACGATATGTAACCAAAAATGTCTTTAAGTTAACAAAAATCTTCAGTGCCAGTCACCAACATATAAACAATTCCAAGCTTTACAGCTTTAAGTTCATTATAAAACAAATAGTGGAAGGAATAATGAGATTCTACTATTTGTATTTTGGCAAATTGCAAACTGACTGGCCTGAGAATGTTGTTGTTGTAAGTAGATTACTTAACTTTTTGTCATGTTTTACATAACCTTGACATTGCAATTATTTGCAGTATAATGCTTGATTTTATTAGTGGAATACAATAATACCCTTCTCCGCCTATTCTTTTCCACACCGTGTCATATATTAAAAAAATATAATGGAAAAAGTGTGTTATACTGTTTTTAGAATTTGATGAAATATCATGAAGCACGTTTACATTTTAATTTTCGTACTCTGATTATGCTCTTAGTTATTCAATAAATAATTTACTATTAACATACCATGACAATTCGATCTGCTATATGTCGTGCTTTCATCGAAGCTTGAAGTTGAGATCATTAAGATCATCTATAATGCATATCTCTCTTCTCTTTAATTTCGACTTCATCTGCATCAGTATGTTCTTTCAACGATAATAAATATGATATATCAAGAAAAGGGAGGCATGATTTCACATTGTAATTACCATAACGTTCCATTTGTAGGCCATATCTCACTTGCATCTGTTCTAAAGTGATAGACAACATACAAATGGCATTTAAATATACCAGCGCTGTCAGTATGACGAAGATGTACAGTTGCGATTAATGGCAATTAACACCAAAGGCACGTTCGATTCATGGTCAAACAAATACCAAGCATTCGTCTGATGCCATAAAGCAGGTGAGGCGTATAATGAATATAAATGGTGTTGTAAAGAAGACTCTTTCAAATATCGTAATACTTATAAGAACTAATGAACTATTACATCCCTTACTGGAACAATTCATGGTCATGGATTGGGAAGAGCTGTTAATTTGACCTTTGCAAATTTGTAGATGAATAGGGGAGCAATTCCCTTGTCGAGGGAAAATCAATTGGTGCCAGGAAAGACTTTCAAAGTAAGTTTTTTTTTCTTCTTTGTGGTCTGTTTTCCGTCCCACTGCCAGTTGTCGTCTAAAATTAATTCTGATCACAGAAGTACGCTTAATAAAAAAAGGTGCAGGTCAGTCCATTACCACTTTTACTCGGTTCGCCGGGAAAATATCACTTAGGCTCACTTTCATATCAAAAAGACCATTTAAAGAAATCGTCGATTTTGTCTTACTACCAATTCCAACTATTTGACGTCAAAGTTTGCTCATACCGTTTTCGGGGTGAGTTGTGTGTAAGAACAACTCACCGGTGCCCCACATGCCTTGCAGAGTCACGTGACGAAAAACGGGCATCTCAGCGAAAAATTGCTTTTGCAATGTTAAAAAGAACAAACTCCAAAGGTGGGGTTTTCGATTTCGATTTCTTGCGATTGGCAGTAGTTGCTATGTAACTTTTTTGTGAAACACCGGAATTTGAGACAAACAGACGATTTTTGGTTGCGGTGTAAATGCAGCTGGAGTTTAGTAGACGATAACTAACTTTCAGACTATGTTCAACTCAAGTAATCAACAGTGAACAGGTAAGAAACTAATAAGGTATGGCTTGACTGTCTTTAATGAGGTCAATCTTATACACTAATTCAACTCTGATTGAGATTAACAACAAAGCGTTAATTTGTATGTAGATTCTAAAACTATGTGAGACCTAGATCTAGTCCATGCACACGAGATCTAGATGTACATCCAGATGCATGGTCTTTAGGTGTGGATATGATCAAGGTCTATCTTACACATAGGTTAGTTATATTAGGTCTAGGTTTGAAGTGTTAGCCTTACGAAAGAGTCTTCTACCTTCTTAATTGTTTAGACTTACATTCAAGCCCGAAATATTTACAGTTTTAGTACAGGAGAGCTTTAAAACGTAAACGGACCTTTGAGTTAAATCCTAAGTCTCATAATTAATATCCCGTATATATATATCATATTTAAAATTCAGGTTTAATTTCATTTTTGATAAGTCCAAAAAATAGTTTTGGGCTGCGCACGAATGCATGACATCATACGGACATTACGATTTGCGATAATTTGTAAGCTGTCACAAATTTATAGCTTTTATAGACGACAATTTTGTTTGAATTGTAAGTTTTATACTCTCCTTGAGTAATCCTCAATACTCAAATGAAGGTTAAGTTATAAGAGATATTTTAAATTTCAGTTCTAGAAAGAGAGTAGCATTAGAGCTAGGGATTCTAGGGGCACTGTTCATTTCTCAATTCGGGACTCTCATCAGATTATTTGAAAGTATGTATCTACCGTACCATCGTATCGTTAATTTCTCACATGTCAATATGTCACACCGAAATATATTAGGTTAAACCTGTATATTGCTTTATCTGTAGTTCAGGGCTTTTTCTAATTTATGAGGGTTGGATCTTTGAGGGTTATGTTCGATAGCTTATTTCAATCGGATTTTTCTATTCGGAAAAAGAGTAAAAAGGTACACTTTATAATACGCATCTGCTAAAAAGGCATGTAGCTTAGTTTACATCTAATATCAAATTATAAACGATAACAGTAGGATACACGATTTGCATAAAGAAAATAGGATACATATAACTCCAATGCCATCTTTGCACTGGCTTCCAATTGCACAACAAATTAAATCTAAGATCATGCTCCTAACATTCAAAGCTTTTTAACATTTTCTAGCTCCGACAAGCTTCACTGCTTTATTTTCTCCCGCTTTGTTCACTTCTTCCCTTAGACTAACTTCCACATCCCATGCACGCCTTGATCAGACGCCAGGATCCCGCCCATGCAGATCACGCCTTCCCTTCGAATCGCACCCAAACCCTGGAATAATCTACCTACTGACGTCCGTGATCACCATTCCCTTAGCTCATTTCACTGTACAGTGAATTCAATACTTTCTCGTCCGACTTTCCCTTTCTGTGCAATGTACTCTAATATTAAATGCTCGATTATATTAATCGTATTAATGCAGCTTTATTGTAAAGTAGGTTGTAGATCTTTATTATGATTTCATTCATTCTTAAGTATATATGTTGTATCTTAGAACAAAACTAATGGTGATAGTTATTTATATTATCATTATGATAAGTAGTAGTATCAGTAGTAGTAGTAGTAGTAGTAGTAGTAGTAGTAGTATTTGTAGTAGTATGTGAGAGCAATAAAACTCATTATGTACCGCACTATATAAGTATTGCGTAGTAATGTTCTTGTAATAAAGTATATTTCCATTGAACTCGAACAGTTTGGATGGCGAAAATATTAGTTTTGTGTATATGATTATAACTAAATAAGGAAATACACCAACTTTTATGCAATGCAACTAGAGGATCTGAAATAAATATGGGTCTCCAATACAATTTCGCGGAGATTACCTCAGTATCAAGATTGTATGACTCGATAGCTTTAACCATTACCGAAACTTGGACGAATGGCATAAATGTTTTAGATATTTGTCTTTTATAATCCGTGTAATTCTTTAAAAGGGACAGCCTTGGCTAAAGTGTTCCAGGTAAATTATAAGATACTCACTTGTACGAAGAAAAACAAGTATTCCAGTCACATATTTGAACAGTCAAAGAGCTAAATATTTTTTCTTCTGTCCTTTTTCAATGCACAACCACTTTTAATGTTAAGTAGTCACTGTTGCCTATTAGAGTGGTGCTTAAAGGTAATACAAAGTTTTGGGAAATTTTGAAAATTGGGTGGATAGTAAATCTTTACAATTTCGATTTAGATGCTCCTGTGGATGTATTATAAGCACTAAAAAAATTAGCCCCTAAAACACTTCTGTTTTCGAGAAAAATTGAATATAAAAATTTATCGGTGCTCCCGGTAAATTTTTATAAATTTCAAATAGCGCCTATGGCCGTACAATCGTAGCTATGACCATGAAAATCTCAGAATATGTTGTTGGGATATATAATTTCCTAACGGGAATAGCTAATCGGCGGTTTCAGTCAAGAAACATAGTTTCATAGCTAAATTAATATCTTGACCTTGAGAGGGAGCTATACAACATAAAGAGTTTATTATTTATAATTTCATAACTTTAGATCTGATTTCAACCACGACAACGATCAATGTATATTGTAGGAACGCATATGCTTCTAATATTTTAATTCGAACCAAATTCATGACCCCATACCAAAACTTTGTAATACCTTTAAGAACACACATTTTGGGGCTTAATATATTGATTTTTTTTGGGTTTTTTTAGTTATAATTATCCAACGGTTATGTGAGTATATGGAACGTATAGATTGTATAACTTGTAACGAAGTCGATACTAGCCATGTCCCAAGAAATGATGGTGATTTCTGATCGTGAGCTTCGCGTTATCATTGTTCATTATACGCTTGTACAAAATACTATTGGACCATCTTCGGCGTGTTGTCCGGTTTTCGCGTGATTGTTCCCGGAGAGTCTCCGGACGCGCGGGTTCGGCTGCCTTTGCCAGATATTTGTGTTTCTTTTGTCGGGGCTTGTTCGGTGCGCAATATATTATGTTGCTCGTTGCTAGGTCGGACAGACCTTGAGCTTGTTCGACCTGGCAACGGCAGACTGGTGTACGCTGAATGGGCCTTGGCGGGGGAGACCGGGGATCTGGAGCGGGCGGGTGGGTTCGCGCGTCTCTGGTCTCTCTGGGAGCGGACATGCGCAGAATTTGATGCACGTTGTTGATGGTCCATTATTCAATTTATACTGGGAATCTTGCTCAACATGCCTAGCTTTTCTGAGATTCCATTTCCCCCCTCTCAGTTAAATCAAGCAATATAACATATTTTGTCTAATTCTCAAACTTAAACGTACTCTTATTTGATTGCGAACATACTTGTCAGTATTTAGTTACTTTTATAATTCATTTGTTCTTTTATATATTGTATTACTGTATGGTTTATATATGTCATTTAATTTGTGGATATTTGAGTGGAAAATAAATAAAATAAAATAAAATCAAAATGTTGTAATAATTACATTATTAGTGAAGTGTAAGAAAAAGTCCGATATAATGATGAGACATAATAAAGTTTTCCATTTTAAACTCATAATTGTGTTAAAGTCTGATGATATCTCTGCACGTTTCTATACAAGGCTATGATTGAATTGGTAAATGTATATTGAGAATATGTGACGTCATTTTTTCTAAGGGAATGTATTGATACCCGATACCAAAATACAACCATGCCTACCATGTTCTAAAAAAACTTCTGTAAATCATCCCCACGATTGACCCATATCTCGAGCCCATTTTTCCAGATTCCTTTGAAGCAAAGGAGCAAGTCGATAAGGGTAGAAAGTTTGCTCGACTTGTGGTATATGTTAACTAATATCGGTTTAAAATTAAACTCAGATACATTCTGTGTCAAATCAAACCCTGGAAAATTAGTGAAAATTAACGAATTAAGAGAAAAGGTTTGTTTGAGAAATGAAGTAAAAACTTGCAACGTTTTCGATCAAGTAAAAAGGAAATTAAATGTAAAGATACAAACGATTCAAAATATCATATTGCAATTAACTTAGCTCTCATTTCCATTTTATATCTACATATTTATTTTTGTTCTGCATTTCTTGCCGAATTTCTGTCTTGTCTTCTTTTTACACTTGAATTGAACCATATGGTTGTCTTATTTTAATTTGTTTAAAGACTTGATTTAAACAAAACGTTGATATTGCTCAGCATATTGTGATTGTCAAGTGTTCAGGAATCGTGAACAGAATAACAAAAATAAAGGAGGTGATTACTTTGTTGACACGATCTTGAAATGCAATATCAATTGAGAGGTTTCGATACTGGAGTATTGATCTTTTAATTTAAATTATATTTACCTTAGTTCTGATTTTTTCGAAATAAATTTCAATCTCTTGATGCGCTTTTCAAGTTTAAATTCAATGCTGATATGGATCTTCTAAAAATATGAATTCAAAAATATTTTGTCAGGATATGAAAGTTCAATTATGCAATGTTTTTTATTTGTGTCATAGTGAATTTTCTGTTGAGGCAGTTTTGTCTGTTTTGCTACTCTTTACGTGTCACGTTTCCCCGCTAAACACTCATACTAACATGTTTGCACTCCCACAGCCTATTTCTGTTACAGCCATTCCAAGCTTTGAATGAATTATTGCTTGTCTTCACACTCTTCGTTTTATTAATTTTGTCATAATAATGATAATCATCTTTATAATCACGATGTATCTTTTTAATAATGAACATAACCTTCTTGACTTCAACTTACTTCTTAGCAATGAACCCCTGATCTACATATTTCAAATGATGGCAGGGTGACCAGTTTTTAAGGACGCGTGGTAGTTATATTTATGTCTATAAACCCATCTAAAGTATACATTTATTTACACTAAATTTAATGGCGTAAATAATCAAAATCACTTTATTCTATCAATTTGTTTGTTCTTTCAGGTTCAATAAAATGTGGTGCTCCATATATTCCTCATCATGCTATGGTGGAAGATCTCCGTTTGAATTACGACTTTGGTGACAGTGTGAATGTGAGGTGTAATACCAGTGATGCTATCTTCCCCCTTCAATGTCATAACAAAGGATTGTGGAGCGGGCCGCTTGCGTCTTGTCCCGAACCCGAACCAAAGAGTAAGGTTTCCTCTTAGTTCCTGTAAAAATATGATATAAGCTGATTCTGTTTTCAAAGGAAATATTACAGAAATGAATCATTAATCATTTAGTACCATTTTTAGAACATCAAAACCACAGCGTTTCATTACTTTTCATCAAATCCCTTTTATTGATGAATATAAATCAGACCTGCAATATTGTTCCATATGATCATATCCGTAAGTTATCTGGAATTTAATCATTATCATTTTTTTCATTTTAACTACGTTTATGTTTTACTGTCATACACTCTAAAAGGCTTAAATTTCCCTTTCAATATACAATCGCTATGCCAATGTTTTGCCAGTGTGATAAATACAAAAAGACTCTACAAGAGTCGTAAAAGTTATCGTGAGAGAGATTCCAATCCCCTGTTTATATACTCTTGTTATTAATTGTTCAAACGTTAATTTATCTAAAAACTAGTGCGATATGCATATTCGAAAAATTTCTCAAATATTTATCACCGCTTTTCATTTGTCCTCGCAGGTGCTCCATCAGTTGACTCTTGTACTGCCCCAGCAGTGCCAATTGATTCAACCATTCAGAATCTTCGTCTCTCATACAAAGACGGTGACAGGATGAACGTGACATGTAACGAGGGCCCTGAGTGGTTCGGCGTGACATGTGAGGATGGAATATGGACAGGCCAAAACATAGTGTGCCCTAATCCTGCCATAGGTATGCCAAACATACATTGAAATAACCCTAACGGTAAAAAAGCTACCGGTCGTATATTGATTTCAGTGAAGTGTTAAGGGATCGAATCCCTATTGATGTCCTTTGAACACATCCATGCACATTTGTCTATCTCTGAACATGTATAAATAAGTGCGTGACAATTACTGGGGCAACACTAATTAAAAGAAGAAGACTCAATTATTATTTATTTTTAACAACATTGAATAATAATAAATCGGTATTCAAACGCTTACACTAAATTGACACGAGAATGCAAGGTGATGTGACAATTTGAATTAACATTTTATATAGAGATTTAAAGCGCCCTTAAAAAAAGCTCATTCTGTCGTGTCTGTGGGGGGAGGGGGGGGTGAGGGTGTAGGATAGTTTGTTCAACTCATGATTAGAGTCGCTTCGTTTTCGATCGAAACGTAGTTTAATTCTCAATAACCAAAGATGTGCGCTTTATTGGCAACTCATAGCGCTTGCAAGAGGCTTCCCTGAATATTTACTGTGCTGTAATGAATGTAAAGCCTTCGAAAAAAAAATTGATTTTGAATATTCTCCAACTTTCTTTGTTTGTACAAGTAAACTATAATCACGATAAATCAGTTTGTTCTCATTTAAAAATACTTCATTTGCAGAATGCAATCAACCAATCATCTCTGTCGACGCATACATTGGAAATGTTAAGCCTCGCTACAAGAATGGTGACCAAGTGAACATCACATGTAACGACGATTCTGTTTCTTTAATTTGGGAATGTCAACGAGATGGATTGTGGCGTGGGCCTCCCTTCGAATGCTCTCGTACTAATCCATCGCCTGAAGGTAATTATGCACTTAAACATATCCGATAAAACGGGATAATCTGGTACCAGACTATGATACGATCATATAACAAATTATAAAGTAAACAATTTATCCTCTGAATGTGGAGTACTAATAGATGTATGTCATTTTAACTGCGCCTTTTACATATAACATCAAGCTTTGTGACCAAAATGTCTCTCCACCTGAACACATAAAAAGGCAGACTTTCTGCAAGCTCTTTCACACAATACATTTCTTATTTCTAAGATCAAATAAAACATGATGAATTACAAGGACCCAATAGTATTTTCACATGAGGTGTAAAAGAAACGAAAAGTAAAAACGTAAAAAGGATACTGCTTTACAAATTAAGCTCATCTCTGTGCAAATTATGAATATTTGTGGAACGATTTACCTATTTGCGCTGATATTAATACCGTCTATAATTTACGATCCGGACTTTTCTATACATATATTTTAGTTCATGCCCACCTTGTTTTTATAATATTTTGTTATCTTAAACAAAAAACTGTTTTGTGTACGGGGCCGCTAAAGTTATATACGGGATTTGGCTGCATGTTCGTTAAAACAAAAATAGAGATATCTGAAATAAAGATACAAAAAACAAATGTAAATGGAAATATGAGTACAAATATGAATGCAAATAAGAAAAAACAAAATACAATTACCAGTTCGAATATGAATACGAGTACAAATGCAAATGTTAAATGTGAATACAAAGATGTATGTTAATACAACAATGAATGCGGTCTTTGCTGATAACCAAATTACTTGTATTTCCAGGACAACAACCTTCATCCCCGGGGCGCCTTACAAGACTTAACACTGAGCATGATGGAAGGGATTACTTTATCACCGGCCTTCTGGTTACAGCTGTCATCTTATTCATCCTTGTTCTGATGTGTATGGCTGTGTTTGTTATCTTCATGAGAAAGTAAGTAAATATTTTCGTTATTGTTTTCTATTTATGCAAAATGTCTCTTTTATTGTATTAAGGCCGTAATTAAAAGCAGTTCTCAGTTGATGACAGGAATTTAACCGCGTTTAACATTAACCCCGTTCCTTTACCTAGGATTTCTTTAAACTACCACTACTTGTACCAAGCATTTCCTCACAATCAGGCTATGGATGGTTTCATGATACCATTATATCTTAGGTAACATCTTGAAGATAAACAAAAAAATTTAACCACTAATGTACTCCGCTGTAAGAAAAGTATTCACTATCTTTGTTCGGTCAGATAATTTGAGAAATAATGTTGAAATAATCAGGCAGTTTCTTTCTGTAATACGGTAAAGATAGATTTTTTTAAAGTAGACAAAAGTGTTAAATTGGATAGATTTTTCAATAAATGCTTATAAACTTCGTAATGAATTTAACAGAGCCTAAGATTTGGTTAGAAACAAAATGGTCATGCTATGCAACACTTGCATAAATAAATCGGACGTTCAAAGTTCTAAATATAACGATCGAATGAAAATCAGAATATAAACTTTAATCTGATTCCAATACAATATTTTTTAAATTTCATTTTATAATCAAACAGTCGTGGATACGATTTGGTAACATCATCGAAAGACGCTCTTCAAGATGGGAATGGATCCAGAGGACCTCTTCCAGACGTTCCTGAAGGATATGCTAACTACGTTGCTGGTGAACAGTCACTCTATGTCGAACCATATCTCAAACAAAATGGAGATCACATTCCAGCCTATGAAGTCTACGAAAAACCAGTTTGATTAATTTATCCTCGACAATGTAAACAGCTAATCACTATCAGTGTTAGATTCAGCTTGCTTTTCCCTCTTTTGTACCAATCATGTTAATATTTGTTTTTTGTTTAGTTGTTAGCAATGTTCAGTTGAACATGGGACATGCACCTTCGCCTAATAATCTTTGTATTGAATTTCAGTTGTTTCAATTTTAATACTCTTTTATCTACAAATGTATGAAGTTCTTACCTGCACGCAGTTATTCCCTACTATAAACTTACTAAATGTATTATATGATATATAAAAATAGCATACAATTCCTCTCCTCCCCGATAATGCATGACTTATTGTCTTGAATCCACCACTGTTTTGTGTTACAATGAAATGTATGTTTATTAGCGTTCTTGTTTATTTTATTTCTAAATATTTCAAGTAAAAATATGAAAAGCACAATTTTCTCTCGCGTACCGATTGTTAAATATTGAGATTAATTTAAGACGAGGTTAAACCTTTATCGCTTTACATACAATAGATATCAAATGTGTACAGTATGATTCGACATGTATTTTTTCATAATGTGAATACTTTTCTGTCTTCATTTTACATGTCCAGGTTATTATCAAAGTGTACGATATTCAGCTCATTGATTACTTTAATACACATGAAATTAATTAATACCAAAAGAGATATCTGCAATGAAAATAAACAAAACAAAACAAAACTTAGGTCTACTACTTTCATGACTTTAAATCCATTTTTTTCGAATTCAATTTCGATTTCAATTTTAATTTTAGTCCGTCATCTAGCTATACATTTTTGTAACTTTCACTATTAAATTAAAAACTTTTTTTTTGTTTTTACCGCCATTGTAAATTGGATGCGTTCTTTGTTTTTCGTAAAACAAGAATTGTAGGCCTGGTTGAAATAACGCTTTTGTTAATTTGTGTGAGATAAAAGCTTTAATATGTCATATTCTCAAGAAAAATTAATCCTTACAAATAGATTGTTCACATGCTTGTTGTTTTTTAAGCGTAATTAGCGTATTGTTAACATCATGGAATTGTACCCCTATCAGTAATAACCTATTATTAAGAAGAATCAGTGTTGTCCCTGTATTTTTTACGTTGATTTTTATGTAAATAAATGTCAATCAACCTTGACAAAAGATGTGCTATTATAAGGAAATGAAAAATTAAATATGACTGTATACATATCCCGAATCGATCGGAAATAATTTTGTGGACAAAACTACCTTGCATTTTTTTCTTCTGACTCGTTAAATATGAAAGCATACATACATCAAATAACAATGACGATGAAGGTGGTGATAAGGATAACGATAATGATGATGATAATGAAACTAATAATGTTAATGATGATGGTAATCATAATAAAATTAATGATAATAATTATGATAATGATACTAATACTTTTAATGACGATGGTAATTTTAATAGCAATAGTGAAAATAAAATTAATAAAAAAGCGTAGATCACAATGTTCATTTGTATAACGTTGTATATAATCAAACGAAGTCCGTTCATAAATGGTTTATTTGATATAAACAGGGAAAACAGGAATTCTAAAAATCATGAAGAGAATGATGATATTAATTATAACAATAATGATAAATTATAATAATACACACTGTTACTAATTTTAATGAGCATAATGAAAAAATTATGATAATAATGATACAAAAAATAAAAATAACAATACGAATACGAAGAATTGAAGAGGACTAAGAACATTTAATAAGAAAGTGGTGTATCCAGGTGAAGTAAATGGGTACCTGGTTGGAATTTATTCCTTGAAACGCAGCGCGCGTAACAGCTGCACTGCTAAAGCCAGGGTAATTATGCTGCATTATTGTAGAGCGCTTAGAGACTTCTGACAAAGTAAGTGTTAGGCGCTATATAAGCACTGTAATTATTATTATTATCTAACGATGTTCGGCTTTTTATGCGTTACACCTATATATTATAATCTATACTCAGACTTGCACTTCATATGCTACAACGGAAGTGTTGTAATATAATATTGTGTTATGAATCTACAGAGAGTGGTATGAAAATAAATTACTTACATTAGCATAACATTTTTGTATATGAATTTTATTTCCTGTTAGCGATTTCGTATGCAACTACCCTTAATACGTTGAGATAATACTTTTATGCGCACTCCAATAGTTTCAACCTTCTTTGCCTTCTGTGAGGTTGAGTTTAAGAATACCCTATAATCAATTTGAATGAAATTACCTAAGATATCACAGAAACATACAATTCCAGTATGAGAGGAGACAGAGACAGAGAATTGAACAGCGCGTATCACATGACATTTGAAAAGGTTGGATAAGAACTTCATACTCTGCGACCTTGGAATTTTTTTCACGATAAACGATAACAAATATCCAATGTAAATATATATATTATGTAATACTCTTATTTCATAGAGGACTAAGCACCAACGTTTCATTAAAAACCCGTGGTCGACTTTGATAGCCTTTTCGCCATGTTAAGGCTTATACAACGAATTCAAACTTTGGCTACCTATCAAACTGCACCAAATTATTGTTGTATTCCTAGCAGTCGATTGCAGATCCATAACTATGGGGAAAAGTTTACGTTTTACTCGTACGACCTTAGCTTCAGCACAAACTCGATACTAGAGAATTCTGAAAACATTTGTTGGAAAACGTTGGTGCTCATTATTTCGTTGGAGCCGTGTTATACATTTTATAGGATTTGACGGGATTTAAGTTATTGAAACAAATGCAAGATTACACACGTACATTGCTTTATTTGTTTTCTTTCTTTTCTTGACAAGCTAGTAACATAGGTTAACTTAATATCTTCAAAACACTTTTGATAAGGAAGGGTATTCATTTTACGGTAAAATATATTTTCTGTATAATGCTTTTATTGTTTTAAACGTTCTCCCTATAATAGCTTCGTTTTAAATATTTTGTTGCAAACAAATTCAACGTAATAACAAAACAAATTGTATATACTTATATCAAAATTAAAAAACTTGGAAAAAAAGAGAATAAATGTATTTAAAATATACGGCGTACTAGTATGTGCCCAGCTTTCGATGAATGCAATTCATTAAGACTGCATTGCTTGTACATAATAATTATTTAAATTTGTTATCATGTATTTTTCTATAGGGGGATAAATGAAGAAAAAAACAATAATGGGTTTCAGGAAAAAATAATATATTTCCGTTCTTAGCCAGTCATTTTTATCAAAGTAAACTGTTATCATTTATAGAAAAAAAAACAATCGTCACTTCTTTTTTTTCTACAATGGCACTTTTACGCTGTCGACAATGATAATAGCACATTTAATGAAATAATGTACCAAGTGAAGCGGGCATTAAGCTCATCTACGGACCTGATCGGTATTCAGGCTGGGTCCAGGTCAAGCTTACAAGTGGCAGTAGAAATATTCTGATCCCATAAGTCAACGACTTCACACTTTATGATTAATATTACTCCAAACATTTAACACTTCCGATTGTGAGATGATTGACCATGGCAATATTGCCTCATCCGTAACCTGTTATTAGGCGGTTGAGGCTTAGCCAAGAAGGCCAAGTTGGAGCTGGAAGCGAGGGACTCCCTTGGGCTGGAGAATAGTATAGATGGAGTGTTTTGGAAGTGGTTTGACCACTTAGTCATCCTTTGGTTGTGAAAGCCATACAAACAATATGACAGCAGGACACTCACTAAGGTTTGCTTTGCAGCTGATAACATCCCTTCATATCTCATGTTTTCAGAAGCTAGAAACCTATTATATGACTCTTAAATTCTGAATGTTATTCAATAGTGATATGGGCTAGATGGAAGAAGAGCTGCATGGTTGTTTTACTGCACCGAATTCCCATCTTTAGGCACTAACATTTTGAAAAACCTTGATTTGAAAGGTGTATGGCTTATGCCTTAGCTCGTAATCTCGTAAATTTTGAACATGAATATAAGGAAGACAAATTAACTGATTCCAATAATGAACATAATTCTGATGTTAACATGAACATTTAAATAAGGCCATTGTAAAATGGAGTGTGTTTACGGCTCGTACGCGGACCTGATCAGTACACAGGCTGGGTAGAGGTCAACAAGGCAAATGGCGCTTTAAAAAATTGGACAACGCCAATATAAGACCAACATTAAATGTTACGTTGTTCTACTCAATACTATTGTTCACCTGCTAGCACACATTCTCATTCGCTCTCAAATTTATTTCTCTCTCTGACGAAACAACATACCATGATGGCATTTAACGTGTGTGGTATTTAAGTTGAAGGAATACAATTCATTAAACACTTATCTATGTAAGAACGGGCAATACGCAGCTCCTTTACCTCATCATTAACATAAATAGTTTGATATAGGTTTATCCTCCCAACTTCTTGAAATTATCAACTAAGTAAACATTTTTGTTCTCAATTTCGTGCGAAATTGAATGAAGGCGTAGATGAACATTCAGAAGTTTGGTTTTTCTCATTCAATTTGGTTTTAAGGAGAATACGATTGCATTCAGCAGCTGCAATTTGAGCATTCAATATAGATGTTAACATTACTCTTTCAGTCACATTCGGCGCAAAAAATGACGAATACGCACTTAGAATTGTATTGAAACACGCCTAAATTTGAATATAAACATAATTGATTTCAGTGACACCAAATTATATTAGGTGAACAAAGGTTAGAATTGAAGCATGCAACCAACAAGCAGCCTAAATTTGAGGGAACTTAGAATCAGGCAAGGAAACATAATACAAAAACTTGTTTTAAGGGAAAGACTTTGCATATCGTTATCGCAAGATAGCTTAAATGACTGCTATCGTCTGTCAGTTGGAAACATTTTAAATCAATTTGAAGATGTTATAGAACAAAACAGGTGTTTGATCTAATGTATTTTCATTGTTATATATGCTTTCCAGGCAAATTAAGAGACAAAATATACAAACGGATTAACAAATATCCTCGACTAGTGCCTAATGAAATCCAGATGGAACTGAGTTACTGTCTCAATACATAATCAATGAATTAGATATTAATCATAATTAAATGTGTTGTTCTCCAAAACAATTTTAAAGATCATATTTCCTTTTGAACTAAAAAAAAGTACCCCAACGCATTTGTTTTCTTCTGCAAAGCTTTAAATGGATTTGGAATATATAATAAAATACAAGTGATGCAGGAATGCGGCTCGTCGGCGGACCTGATCAGTATTCAGACCTCATAGAGATCAGTATCGTGGTGAGCTGTTCTTTTTGGCGGAATGCACGCGTTAATTTCTCCTAAAAACCAAATAATATAAGATACCACAAACCATGTGAGCTATTTTTGTTTGAAAAGAAATGGGAAGGGAGATTATAGATTGATGTATCTGATCGGTAATGTTTTATATCAATATATGCTCATATAACTTGTTAAACTTTATTTGTTGTCGTTTAATAAACAAATATTTTGATAAATGGACAATTTATTTATTCTTGTCCACAAATATGATAATATTGTTTTCTTACGGCAATACCGGACAATTTAAGAAATCAGGATGACGAAGAAGTACAATATAAACCCATACATTAATTAACATTCAATCAAACTAGAACCTAAGGAAAGTACATTTACTATAGTCTACTAAGGTTTGTATTCATCTTCTCAAACTTCTTTTCTTATTAAAACATACATTACCTACTACTTCATCTTCTCTTCCTCCATTTCCTTGTTCAATTTCTATCTATCATCTTGATCATTTAGGGTAGTTATATTTTTGTTTTACATTTTTACTTCCTCTATACTGTCGATATATTTATGAGTTGAACGAGACGTTAGGTATGTCGAACATTCGTGAGCTATCAAATGATGTTGGATTTATAGCATGAAACTTCTTCTTTTAATACCATATATTGTGTTCTATGTAACGCAAAACATGAATAACAAGAATGCGCGTGTGCATGTGGGTGTGTGTGTGTGTGTGTGTGTATATAAGCTCGCTGGTGACGATATATTCTTGAATGAGCACCCCGTACACTATGACCCTCATGTTCAAATATCGTTAAGAATGGTGAAACTTCCAAGTCTGCTCATCTACTTTAAACAAAAATCCGAAAATCCGAAAATCGCATTCCACAAACTAGGTGAGACATTTGACTAAAATTTTAAGAACAGTTCCGTGACAAACATCTTTAAACTCTTAGAAATTATACGAAAACGTGGAGTTAATATAATGTTCTGCTTAATTAGATCAGTGTTACTCCCTTCTACCACCTTCGTTCGTATTATTGTGGCAGGAGCAGTGATTTTAACTCGTTGTATGCCGATCAATATAGTCCAATATGCCAGCATTGTACTTTTAAGGGTTATTGTTTGAATCATTTCAAGTTTGTTTCTAAATGTCTGGCGTAAAGCGACTACATAGAGAACATAGATAAATGGTTATTTTCTTTAGCAAGTTATTCTAACTTTGTCAAATGAAATACAACTTTAGCAATTTAAGATTATGGGAAAACAAAGACTGACTCATGTATCTTATATTGGCAGGAAAGACACTGGACATTTCGAAACGAATAGTGGTCAATTTGGTTCTTGGACATAATATATATATATATATATAAATATATATATATGTATGGCAGAATGATGTTGATATAAATCAGCATATCCCGAACATTTGTCTACAATTTGGTTTTTGAATCAGATTTATGATAAAACTACATTACCACCACAATTACTATGACCCAGGTGTCTAGCTGTGCTTACTAACTTTGACACAGCAAATCTGCACGTTTACTCCATACTCATCCAAATTCCAAACATATATCATATGCCACAAACAAGGTGAGACGTTTGACAGAGATACATTTAGATAGATTACTTACAAGCATACACCTGCTTTCTTAGCAGTCAGGTAAAACAAATAACAAACCAAACACTGGACAGAAATAAAAACATCCACACAAACGTTCGTTCTATGCAATTTATCAAATTGAAATTGGTGAATAGCACATCGCCAGTCGTTTAATCAACGTTTGAAAACCGATACCTCCGTAGAAGAAGTAAGCAATATAGACAGGGAGGCTGAAGAATAAAGTGTGTATTAAAGCCATGCTGTATTAAAAGCAGTTCACCAACATTCCCTTTATAGACAGATCAGAATAAGCAACAATCAAATGGCTGTTCCTTACTTTCCTAAAGAGCTTTAATTCATGATTCAATACAACTTTTGTACACAAAAAGAAGGGCAATTATACAAATAATGCTGCTAATTTAAATCCATTTGGTATATAGAAAACATTACCGTAAGCAGAATTACAAAGGAGACAAAACATACTAAAATATCCATCCCTTCCCAATAAACACATTTGATTAAATATCACATAAGACCCAAGCAAATACTGATATGCTACAAACTAGGTAATGCGTTTAACTGGAAGTTTCTTTCCTCACGTACCCCCTTCCCAGCAGTAACGTCCAGAAGACAATTGTTATTAATGATTACCGTCTACAACCCTTTTCAAGGGATCCATATTGAATTAAATCCAAAAGAAGAATCATCAAAATAACGTCGAAGTATTTTCCATTATTCTTAAATTTCGAAGTTTCATTATCCGCAACAAATAGTTTGTCACTGCATTACATTGGGTGAGATACTCTCAAATTGCAATGTACAATTTTGTTCTTGTTAAGAAATAACGAAACAAAATCATTTTAAAATAATTGATTATGACCTTCCTCACAGGTTCAATTCCTTGCAGCGCCCCGTACATTCCCGCACACGCACATGTTACAAATCCTCGTCTCAACTACAACTTTGGTGCCAAAATTACCGTGACGTGCAATGCCAGTTCTGATACCTTCAACCTTCAGTGTCATAACAAAGGGCTTTGGAGTGGACCGATTGTATCCTGCCCTGAATCGACCGCAAGGGGTAAGATAATATTCCAATCCGTACCCGTTTCAGGATCACTTTGCTTCTATTAAGATTTGAATCTAAAAAATGCATCAAAACCCCTAACACTCAGTCAGGTGTACGATGCGTGAATATGTTCGTCCCATTACGAAACGTTCTGAACGGAATAATTCGCTCTGTTCATAAACACATATCCATAGTCCAACTCAATTACCCGAATGAATCCTGAGCTGGTAAGACACTGTAAACTCGCAATGTCAGTGAAGCTGATGGGCACTAATTGCCAAATGATAGTGCTGAATTTGTTGCATACGTGATTGCTTCTTTTGTTCTTTAGTCAGTATATATTTTCTTGTTGCACTTAATTTCGTGAAAAGTATTCGCAATTTGGTGAAAGTAAAACATATTGTTTTCGTTTAGTTTAGTTTACACAATCCGCAAAACTAGGGGTTCAGACATAAATTAGAAATTGTAGGCATTTAGTACAGTTGTGAAGCAAGTAACTTATAATTTGTTTCCCTCAACTCTAGCTCTTCCTACGAACTGTAATGCTCCTTCAGTCCCGAGATACTCAACGCTCGAAACCCTTAGCCCGAATTATAACCTTGGAGACAGTGTGACATTCCGATGTGACAATACCACCATTCAACCGTTTAGTCTTCTTTGTGAAAACACTGGGTTATGGAGTGGACCAATGCAGACGTGCCCGCCACCTGTCTCAGGTATCTATTACATATGTGTATCCATTATTATTATTGCCACAGACGGTACATAAATACGGGACTCCGATAAGAGTCAAGTTTGCGAGTTTTTTTTCTTTCTTCAATTTCGATCACTTTAGATCATAAACATTGACAACGACTGAAATATATCAATAAATATGCTGACTTGTAGTTAGTTATATGCTGCATTGCGGTTTTTAAAGAAGTGAACAATATAACGACATATATGTGCATTTGTATCTGAAACTTATCCCCCTGACAGGAAAAGTTCGACTGGCTTTCGTCATATGAGATCCCTATTAGATTCAGGAAAAAGTGCCCGTTACTGTGCTAATTGTAATTGTTCAATTTCCAAACAGAGTTTAACGAACAACAATCCAATTGCCCAAACTGCTAGAAAATACAAATAGTATGGGGCTCGGCACGTTACTAAAGATCCGACTTATTATCAGGTAACATTTTGATGTGGCTTATTATCGGAATGTTAGATCGATCAACACTTGTGATTATTAAGGCTATATCTAGACGAAGCATTATATAGAGATAGGTGTTAATAGTTCAAGTTAGGAGGTCCAGTACGGTAAGAGTTTGATCGCTGCGGTATTGGTTGTAAAACTATTCGGCATTATCCATTATTGTAGCATGTACATTATGGTATTAATAAGTCAGCTCCTAGTTGAATCTGTAGATATTGATCATACCTTTCTCTGTCTAAACTCCTAATGCTATATTATTAACCATACGTATGCATTTCCATTCACAGCCCCTACACGATGCACTAGTCCATATATCCCAAAGTATGCATCAGCTGAAAACGTTCGTTTGGTCTACAGCATCGGTGAGAGTGTAACAATCACCTGTGACAGCGGAACAGACAGGTCGTTTACCCTTCAGTGCAAAGCAGATGGGTTTTGGACGGGTGGTTTTCATTCTTGCCCACCGCCGTTAGAAGGTTAGCTTTATTTATGAGTTATTTATTTACCAAGCCATCAATATTAAAAAAAACGTGTAAATAATACCTAAGCCCAAACGCACACACGTATTTAATTAACTGTATAGATTGATGTTGTTCTTGGTTGTGGTACAAAAAAAACGATAGCATCCAACCACTTAATTTTGTCTGTGTTATCACTCATTTACATCATTCTTTGTTTCTCCTGTTTACGTCCAGAGATATACTCAAATAAGTTTTAAAGTAAGTAAATGTTTGATGTACCAACTATCATCTTTATTTGATTTTTTGTACAGCTCCGGATAAGTGCAGTGCCCCTTACGTTTCACGATATGCAACCATTATAAACATGCAACTAAATTATGACTACGGTGACAGTATTACTGTTACATGTGACAATAGCAGTGCTCGGTTTTACCTTCAGTGTGACGCGAAAGGTCGATGGAGAGGGCAGGACGTTTCTTGTCCCGTACCTACCCTAGGTAAGACTTTTTTTAATTCTTAATTTATTTGATTTGAATATGATTTGACTAATTGTTTTTGTCTGAAACTCCCCCCCCCCCCCCCCCAATTTCGACTAGCTTTCGCAATCTACGAGCCCAATATTCATGGCCGTGATGGTAAAGGGGGATAGCAGAAAAATGAAATAAGATCCAGGGAAAAATGCCATTTTCTGAGCGAATAAGATTTGATTTCCAGTAGAGTTTGAACAACAACAATAGACATAGATGTTAATATTTAAAGCTAGGAGGTCCAGTACTTAGGGATGGAGATTGATTGCTGCAGTATTGGTTGTAACACTGTTTGACATTATTTATAATTCTATCACGTTCATGTGGTATCTGTAAAAGAGGTTAAAATTGTATATTTAATCATACCTTTCTCTGTCTAAACTGCTTATGATTTTTTAATAAACATAAGTATGCGTTTCCATTCACAGCCCCTACACGGTGCACTAGTCCATACATCCCAAAGTATGCATCAGCTGAAAACGTACGTTTGGCCTACAGCATCGGTGAGAGTGTAACAATCACCTGTGACAGCAACACAGACAGGTCGTTTACCCTTCAGTGCGACTCAGATGGGTTTTGGACGGGTAGCGTTTCTACTTGCTCACCGCCCGTAGAAGGTTAGCTATACATATTATTAATTAACAATTAATTCATTTATCTACCTATAGTTATCAATTGTAAAGAACTTGTAAATAATACCTAATATATAGAGCACATATGACCCTACGCACACACGAATATAATGAACTGTGCAGTTGTTGTTGTTCGTAATTGTGGTAAAAAAAATTAGCATTGAAACACTTAATTTTGTCTGTGTTATCACTCAACAGCATTATAGTTTATTTTCCCTTTTATGTCCAAAGATATATTCAAATTACATTTCAAGTAGATAAATGTTTGTTGTACCAACTATCAACTTTACTTGATTTTCTTTACAGTTCCGGATAAGTGCAGTGCCCCTTACGTTCCAAGATATGCATCCATCCAAGGCCTGCAACTGAATTATGACTATGGTGACAGCATTACCGTGACATGTGACAATAGCAGTGATCGGTTTAACCTTCAGTGTGACACGAAAGGTCGATGGAACGGACATGTAGTGTCATGTCCTGTACCTACCCCAGGTTAGACTTTTAATTGTATTTTTTTTTTTGTATTCAATGTTTCTCCCTGAACCCCCCCCCCCCCCTTTCGACTGGCTTTCGCAATATATGAGCCATCAATTAATGGTCATGATGAAAGAGGAAGATAAATTAAATCTTCATATTAGATCCAGGGAAAAGTAACTGTGCAAATTATAAAAGTTCACATTTCCAAAAAGGGTTTAACCAACGACAATTTAATTGCCCAATATGTTATGACATTAACAGAGAAACTGGTTTGGCACGTAACTCAAGACCCGACTTATTATCAGGTAACATTTTGAACTGGGCTTAACATGAGAACTTCGGATATATCGTCACTTGTGATTATAACTAAGGCTATCTCGAGACGAAGAATTTATAGAGATAGGTATTGATAGTTAAAGTTAGGAGGTCCAGTACGTAAGGTTCGAGATTGATTGCTGCGATATTTGTCGTAAAGGTATTCGACATTATCCATAATTGTAGCATGTGCATCATGGTATCAATAAGTCAGCTCCTACTTTAAACTGTAGATATTGATCAAACTTTCTCTGTCTAAACTACAAATGTTTTTTTTTTGTTAAATTAACATACGTTTTTTATTTCCATTCACAGCCCCTATACGATGCACTAGTCCATACATCCCAAAGTACGCATCAGCTGAAAACATACGTTTCGTCTACAGCCTCGGTGAGAGTGTAACAATCACCTGTGACAGCAACACAGACAGGTCGTTTACTCTTCAGTGCAACCCAGATGGGTTTTGGACGGGTAGTGTCCTTTCTTGCACACAGCCGATAGAAGGTTAGCTTTATTTATTATTCATCTATTCATTAATTATTATTCATTTATTTACCCACCTATCTATTGTCCAAAACCTTTAACTCATAGCCTGCCATGAGGCTGCGTGCACGCTATTGTTACGCTGCTTCTTGCATGCTAGCAAACATTCGTAATAGCAGTTATTGTTCATGCCTATTGGACTGTGCCTAGTGCTTTGCACGCTCTATTGTTAGTACCATCGCGTTAATCCGATTATCTCGTTATAAATCTGGCACTGGGGGGATTAGCCCTGTGGCAGGATAAGAGTTAAATATCAAAGAACATATATAACCCCATTGATCCTACGCGCATACGTAAATAATGAGCCTAACACTTGGCGTTGTTAGTGGTTGTAGTCAAAATAAGATTCAATCCAACCACTTCATTGTTTTCTGTTATCACTCAACAACATTATTCTTAGTTTCTCCTGTTTACGTCCGTAGATATAATAAAATAACATTTCAAGTAGATAAATGTTTGTTGTACCAACTATCATCTTTATTTGATTTTCTGTACAGCTCCGGAGAATTGCAGTGCCCCTTACGTTTCACGATATGCAACCATTCAAAACCTGCAACTGAATTATGACTACGGTGCCAGTATTACTGTTACATGTGACAGCAGCACTGCTCAGTTTAACCTTCGGTGTGACACGAAAGGTCGATGGCGTGGCCAGGAAGTTTCTTGTCCCGTACCTATCCCAGGTAACCCTTTTTATTTTTTAATTTGATTTGATTTGATTCATTGTTTTTGTCTGAACCCCCCCCCCCCCCCCCAAAAAAAAAAAAAAAAAAAAAAAAAATGTCCACTGGCTTTCGCACTATACGAGCCCAGTCGTGAAGGTGTAATATTTTTTTTACCCCAATTTTTGGAATAATTTTGACAATGATATATTCTAGGTTTATTGGGAATAAATCTTTGTCAAGATCATTCCATAAATTTGGTTAACGAAAATTATTCCATCTTTATGACCAACAATGTACATTATGGTATCTATAAATCAGCTCCTAACTTGTTGATATTGATCATAACGTTCTCTGTCTAAACTGCTTATGATTTTGTAATAAACATACGTATGCGTTTCCATTCACAGCCCCTACACGGTGCACTAGTCCATACATCCCAAAGTATGCATCAGCTGAAAACATACGTTTGGCCTACATCATCGGTGAGAGTGTAACAATCACCTGTGACAGCAATACAGACAGGTCGTTTACCCTTCAGTGCGACTCAGATGGGTTTTGGACGGGTAGCGTTTCTACTTGCTCACCGCCGATAGAAGGTTAGGTTAATGTCTTATTAATTAATCATTAATCATTATTCAATGATCCACCCACCTATCATCTGCTAACTTGTAAATAAATACATAATATTTAGCACCCCAATCCTCCTACGCGTTCACGTGTATATTTTTTGTCGGTGGTGGTTGTGGTCAACAGATTATTTCAGGAAACCTCTCAATTGTTTTCCTTTTACCACTCAGCAGCACCCGTTTAACCCCGTTTACGCTTAGGGAAAAATCAGATAATACTCAAAAGTAGATAAATGTCTGTTGTACCAACCATCATCTGTACTTGATTTTCTTTACAGTTCCGGAGAAATGCAGTGCCCCTTACGTTTCAAGATATGCAACCATTCAAAACCTGCAACTGAATTATGACTATGATGACAGCATTACCGTGACATGTGACAGCAGCACTGCTCAGTTTACTCTTCGGTGTCGCACGAAAGGTCAATGGACAGGCCAAGTGGTGTCCTGTCCTAGACCTCCGCAATGTAAGACTTTCAATTTTGATTTGATTGCATTCACTTACCCCCCCCCCCCTCCGAATTCGACCGCTTTTCTCATTATACAAGCCCCAGATCAATGGTCATGATGGTGGGGATATATAGAATGAATCTGAAATTAGATCCAGGGAACACTGACAGGTGCTGTACCAATTGTGAGAGTTTACAATTTAAAAAAGAGTTTGACCAACACAAATAAAATTGTCCCAAATGCCTGATGTATCTATAACAAAATAACATTTAACCATACTATAAAGGACATATTTTTAGAAATTGAATAATTATGTATGTATGTGTGTGGGATCCTAACAAATATTATTGATGTCTGTATATTTTGTTATAACTACACAATCAACATGGCCATGTATATGTATCAATATCCTTGTCTAAGCATTGATACATTTTGTATACTTAATTATCGGGGGAAAATAAGACGATCTATCATTTTACCTGGGACAGACTGCGATTTAATTGAGGTGTTGTCATTGTGAATAATTGATGAGAATACCTGCTGAGGAGCTGGAAATAATGCTCAATATAATAAGGGCAATATTATGTGTAAGGTGCTTCACAGATGTGTATAGTGTTGACTTCACATTTTTATTCTAATATCATCGTTGTCTGTGCTAGACTAGGCTTAACAATGCTATTGACAGTTGTATATTTTTTTTCGTTATATTACTGATGCTGTCTTTACTATTACCTGATTATTTATTCATGTTCTTATGCTACATACGTGTTTTCCTTGTTGCATCGAACCTCACCCTCCAATGACTTTATGTAACATTTTACGATCAGCTCCATCTCAATGCAGTGCTCCTGTTATTCCAAGACATTCTACCATTGCATTCTACCGAATAACCTACAACCCAGGTGATGACGTGATTGTAACTTGTGATGCAAGCAACGATCGTTTTACCCTCCATTGTAACAACAGTGGAATTTGGAGTGGACCGGAAATGTCTTGCCAAGAACCAGCCAAACGTAAGATATTTGATTTTTATCTGACTAATTTGGCAATGTGATCGGTTTACTTTAACTTAAAATTAATTAAATGCAGGACAGGTTATATTTTTCTGCATCAGGTCATATGCAGAAGAAGATCGTCTTTTTAAAATGTTAATTTGATAACTCGCACATGGGATAAATTATGCGAATTTTTTTTATCGAGTATCAACACATATTGATAGAGTAATATAATCGGTACCAAGCCACTTTCATGCAAAACATTCAACGTTTTAAAGTAAGTCCGACGGCTCAATATTGTGATGGCTGTTCCAAAGTACTGTTACTACAAAGGTTTGATCTTTTGTATCAATGCCAACAATGCTATATGGATTATAAACTTAAAAAATAGAGATGGTTTGTAATTGCAACTGTGGAATAGATTCATAATTGCCATTTGTATTGTCCCTATAATTAACTTAATAATTTTAGAATTACAAACATTGAGATTAACGTAATTTTTTTTATATTTATAATCATGCACCTTATTTCATATTGAGAATTGCAAAATTTCAACAAAATTATGAGCCGTCAGACTACAAATCTTTGAGAATAACAAATCCTCGCAAATTTAAAACCTTCGGAGTAACACACAATCGTGAAAGTGACCCCAAGGCTTGACATTGCAAGTTAGTGTATTCGGAATTCATTAGATTCTCCTCTTTCATTTGATGCAACTCATATAATGCATATTTCACGCTTGAGTGATTAAAATGAATTTGAAGAGAGGAAACCAACATGTCATTTGGCGCACGGTATCTGAATTTCTAGGAGAAAATCACATTTCTAGAAGGTTGAATTTCTTTCCTTTTATATGACACCTTAATCAGAAAAAATGAGCAAGGAATGACAAAGTTCTGTTTGTTTAAAGTAGTGCTTGCATTTCCATAATTTTATCAAACATATTTGTTTTCACTAGCTGCCTACAAAGGACTTAACTCCGTTTCGTTGACAATCAGCCGTAGACGAAAGACTTCATGCATGGCTGATTGCCAACGAAACGGAGTTAAGTATGTTGTCAATGTTGCTTGTTACTACGGCGGGCAGCTAGTGGAAACGAGTTCGTTCGAAAAAAATTATGGAAATGCAAGTACTACCTTAATCAAACAGAACTGTGTTATTCCTTGCTCATTTTTCCTGATTGAGGTGTCAAATGAAAGGCGGAAACTCAACTTTCTAGAAATGTGATTTTTTTTTTTGAAGTTCAGTTACGGTCCGCCAAATGACATTTTGGTTTCCATTATCTTTAAATTCATTTTAATCACTCATGCGTGAAATATGCATTATTTGAGTTGCATCAACCGAAAGAGGAGGACCTAATCTTTCCAAATATGTGTCATTTATTAATAATAAATATTGTTAAGTTATGATAAACATCGATAATTCTCGGTTTCATTTTTTTTTTTTTTTTTTTTTTTTTGGGGGGGGACGCACTGTATAATGTGATGTTTTATTTTGAGGTTTTAGTGGTTTCAGTTTTTATTTTTTTCTTCTTCTATCCCCAAAATGCTGTGAATATGACAGCTCCAACACTGTGCAGTGCACCTTATATTCCGAGATATTCTTCGATTGAAAGTCATCATTTGAACTACAATTACGATGACACAGTGACAGTGACATGTGACACGAACAATGATCAATTTACCATGCGGTGTCAGGCAAGTGGATTATGGGATGGCCCTGATATATCCTGTGCAGCACCTACATTGCCGGTAATACCAGCTCCATGTAAGTAAATATATTTTGGGTATTGTATCTGAAATCTTTTCTTTCTTATACTCCCTTGTTTCCACCATCACCATCGCCATCATCATCATGTTCTTCTTCATTATCACCACTACCATAACCATAACCCTGGCATAAATGGGGCCCGGGGAAATATAACAATATAAATATAAAAGTAATATAAACACGCACTGAGATGAACGCACATCTTGCGCTCAATCCGTTACAATAATCACTGATATCTAGAATAACATTTTTTTTTCCAGAGAACCTGATATTTTGTTAAACAAAAATACAAAGTACATATAAAACTCAATCCTGTTTTATAACTTTAACTGTTTTTCATTACAGTTTCTTTCCTTTTTTCTCTTTTCATCTCTTCGATTTCCAGAATCTGATTTCCCTTTGCACACCTAAACCTACAAACTTTCTTCAACATAAAATCTTACCACCTATTAATTTTATTCCATTGTCCATATGACAAGGACGAATAGTTTTGACCGTGATTAGTAGCATTTGTGGATTTAAAGCAAATTTTTAAATATAAATATTGTTTTCCTTTTATGTGTTGGTGTCCCAAACTTAAAAACGCTTGAATTGCCATTACAATGACAATATATAATGTAAATATTTTGAAGACTATTGGTTCTGTGTGATTAATAAACTTGTATTTACTGAGCAGAGTCGTACAGGTATTTCTGAGAGAGGTTTAAATATCACCTGTTCAATACGTGTATGTATTATTTCACTCATTAATTATTTTAAGAACGTCACAAATTTAAATATCCTAAAGAATTCCAAAAATGTGAACCAACGCTTCCCATTATTAAAGTATCTCGTGGTCACCATACGATTATTTGCATATATTCTCTCCACAGTTCCTCCATCACATGCCTCATGCAGTGCACCAGCAGTGCCTATTGACTCAACCATTCAGAATCTTCGTCTCTCATACAAAGACGGTGACAGGATGAACGTGACATGTAACGTGGGTTCTGATTGGTTCGACGTATCATGTGACGATGGAATATGGATAGGCCAAAACATAGTTTGCCCTGACCCTCCCAAAGGTAAGCAAAACATACGTTTTAAAAAGCTACCTGTCGTAAAGTCATTGCATGTAATAAAAATGAAGAGGCGTCGTGGTATAGGGCTTCATTCAATTGACTCTCAGTGGAGGGGTTGATGGATCGAATCCCATCCCGCTACTAAAATCCTTTGAACACATTGATGCGCAATCGCCTATTTTTGACAGTGTACATATACATGTAGGTGCCTGACGATTACCGGGACATTAATAATTGCAAGACGAAAACTCAATCATTATTTATTTTTAATAACCATGATTATCTAAAAATGACACGAGGATAAGAGCTAATGTGATAAAGTGCCCTTCAAAAGAGCTTATTATCTATTTGAGTATGTGTGTGTGTGTGTGTGTGTGTGTGTTTATCGGACAGTTTGTAGCGTGCATAATCAAGGCAACTTCGTTTACGATCGAAACAAACAGAGTGAGTCAGAAAAAAATGTCCCACCTTGTAAAAGTTATATTGTTTGAAGTGTGAATAATTATTCATGGGTTTCATGATACGTCTTGATAGAGTTATCATCCTAGTACATTAAGGTACCCTTTTTATCTGAATCTCTGCATGCATGAGTGAACATCAGCCAACCTTTACAAGACTGCCGGATCTTACTTGCGCCAAGTTACTTGGTGAGGAATAAAACAGTGCATTGAACAAAGACAGTCAGACAAACACAAATATATACACTTTTTTTTTTTTTTTTTTTACAATTTTGTTTTATTTCTCCAGATGTGTAATACAAACCATGACATACAATTGAATAAAATAAACGTGTTCAATATTGATGCTTTGACATAAACATAATTAAACACAAACTTATTTGCAGTATAAGGACAGTATAAGGACAGCGCAAACACACACACTCACGTACACACACACACACGCACACAGATGAGCGTTCCATTCTCGACAAGGCCCACCCAAACTGTTACTTTTTATCGGGAAATCTTGTTCTTGTACGAAAAGTTGAGTGGCCGCTGTCCTCTTGGTGCGTATTGGCGGATGCTGTGCTTCAGGACGATGATGATGATAGTGATGATGTTGATGAAGATTAAGATGATGATAATGATGATGATGACATGATGGTGGTAGTGAACGTGTACTAAAGGATGCCACTTAAACATTCAGCGATCCTGATAGAAAAATAAATGCTTAATCAGAAAAGGGGAAATTGTGAAACAATTCTCACCGTGTGTGTTGTGTGTATGAGCGAGTGTGCGTGTGCGTGGATGCGTTTGTGTGCGTATGTGCGTGTATGTGTGTGTGTGTTTGCGTGTATATGCGTGTGTGTGTGCGTGTCTGTCTGACTGTCTCTGTTCAATGCACTGTTTTATTCTTCACCCAGTAACTTGACGCAAGTGAGATCTGGCAATTTGTAAAGATTGTCTGGTGTTCACTCATACATGCAGATATTCAAATGAAAATGGCACCTGAGTGTACGTGGACGATAACTCTATCAAGACATATCATGAGTCACTTTGTAGTTCCCATTTTCAATCATCAAATATTTGCACTTTTTGGGGCAACTACAAGCGCTCGAAAGAAGCTTCCCTGAATTATTTGTCTGCTCTAATCATTGAAGAGTCTTGGGAGAAGTCTTTGATTTTAAATATTTTACAATTTTCTTTTTGTGTACACGTATACCCTAATCGCAATAAATCAGTATGTTGTAATGTTTAAATACTTCATTTGCAGAATGCAATCCACCAATCATCCCCGTCGTTTCATTCATGGAAAATGTTAAGCCTCGGTACAAGATTGGTGACCAAGTCAACATCACATGTAACGACGACTCTGATTGGTTCGCTTGGGAATGTCACACAGATGGCTTGTGGCGAGGGAATTCCGTCCAGTGCTCAACTGATTGTCCTCCGCCCGGAGGTTATTATACACTTTGAAATGTCTGATATAAGGGGATAATGTGGTACCAGACTGATAACAATCTTGTATTCAAGTTATAATAATTATGGTGTAAATGATTATCATCTTAAATTGTAGCATACTAACAGATTAAAAGTAATAAATGTAAACTGGTCCTTTAAATGTAAATATAAGTAATATGAGAGAATGCCTCTCCGCCGCCTCAAATAAGGGAGAGTTTACACTAGCTCTTATGTTGCACAATATATATTTCTCTGTTTAAAGGCCGAGTAAAACAAGGTGATGAATAACAAAAGCCGAAGCATTTTTGACAAAAGATTGGAAAGAAACACAAATTGTAAAGAAAGAAAGGATACTGCTTTTCAAATTAAGCTCATCTCTTTGCAAATTATTAATAAAAGTGTATCAACTTACCTATTTGGGATTGTATTATTATTGTTTATTATTTACCTCCCTACTTATTTTTTCCACGTATCTCTTTCACGCAAAACTTTTTTATGAGCATTTATTTTGTTATATTTTTTATTTTGTTTAACATATTTGACGGGGCTGCTGTAATCATGTAGGGGAATTTGCTGTTTTTTTATTTTTAACGAATATCTGAGAAAAATAAATACAAATATAATAAAGAATATAAGCACATATGTAATAATAATATGTATACAAAGACGAACACGTTTACAAATGCGATTAAAAATACGAAGAAGAATACAAATAGAAATACAAATGTTAATGATGCACAAACAAATGAAATGATGCAAATACAAATACGAATATGAATATAAATACAAATACAAATTCAAAGGAAAATACAAATTAAAAACAAGACAAAAATACAAATACAAATACAAATACAAATTAGATTACGAATAAATATACGCATCCAAATTCAATTACTGAAATTTAATACAAATATATCTGATGATAATTGGTGTTTGCTTATAATCAAATTACTTATATTTACAGGAGGAAAACCTACATTTCCAGAGCGCATTGCATATTCTAAGAGTGAGCAAAGGGGAAGGGATTACTTTATCACCGGTCTTCTGGTTACAGCTGTCATCTTATTCATCCTTGTTCTCATGTGTATGGCTGCGTTTGTTATCTTCACGAGAAAGTAAGTTAATGTTTATTATAATAATCGTATAGAGTGGTGAAGAGTGACGTCGTCAAAAAGCTATTTTTATAATTTCTAAATTTAATTTTCATTTTCTGAAAGAGCATCACAAATAATGTCCGAATGGTTAAAACCAATTGAATATATTTAGTTTTGGCTGAAGTATGACCATCTGAAAAAAATATGGCTCGGTGTAAAAATGTCAGAGGTAAAAATGTCAGAGGTAAAAATGTCAGAGGAAAAAATGTCAGAGGTAAAAATGTCAGAGGTCAAAATTTCAGAGGTCAAAATGTCAGAGGTAAAAATGTCAGAGGAAAAAATGTCAGAGGTCAAAATGTCTGAGGAAAAAATGTCAGAGGTAAAAATGTCAGAGGTAAAAATGTCAGAGGTAAAAACAGTTAGAGGTATAAAATAAAAACAAAAGCATGTGACAAGTTTGTTATGGTTACATCCGGGTTATATATTAGGCTTATCGAAAAAGAACAGCGAGGGATATTCTGCAGTCATTATTTCACCGCTGCTTTATTTTCCACTTTCCCAGTTTAAATTTATTTACCTTTCGGCCCCAAATTGTGACTTTTTGCCCGATTATTGTCGAAGGAAGACGGGGAGGGGGTATTCTTCTTCTGGGGCACGGTGACCCGGCTGCTCTCCCCCTTCCTCTTATATGCTTTGCTATATATCCTTCCGAACAGTGGTCAATGCCTAGGCAGAGCAGCCAGACTAATGGGACATGGTTTCTACTCCGAGTTTCGCGCCTTGCAAGCAGTCATCAGGCAACTGATAGCATTCTTAAAGTACATGGTTATCCTACAACCTTGGTACAAATACCCCTAAAATAAGACTTAACTAATAAAATACAATTGGAATTACTCATGAGTATTCTTATTGTATTGTATTCAGGTATTGTAGTCTTATTGTATTGTATAGCTCTTATTTTGAGCGTATTTGTACCAAGGTTGTAGAGGAATCGTGTACTTTGACGAATGCTATCAGTTGTCTGATGATCGCTTGCAAGGCGTGAAACTCGGAGTAGCAACCATGCATGTCCCATTAGTCTGCCTTATTCAATATTTATATACCGGTATATTATGCTTTTGTATAAGCAAATGGTACTGGTACACTGAGCAAACTTCTGGGGGAAAAGATTTCTAAAATCGAGAAGTTTGGCCATGTTTTATAGGCTGAGTTGTCGCTCCATGGTGTAATCATTAAATAAAAAGAAAAGTCAGTACAGCCCACAAAAAAGGATCAGATATCTATGAACCTCCCCCCCCCCCCCCCACTTCTCCCTTCACTTTTGAAGATAGTTGGACATTTCAATTGCGTGGCAATGACTACTATTATATGTAATTTCCAATAAATGCATATTTCCGACAATTCCACTTTCTTGTGGGCTTGGTATTTTGATACTCTGAAAGTAGGGTCCATGCTGAAACAAAGCAGAAAGCCATGTTATCAGTGCTAACCGCACCATCACATTCCCGAAGTGCGCACGTTGCAATAAAATATTGTCGATTACTATTGCGGTATAAAATAGTCTGGGAAAAAATCAATAAGCAGCTTTGTTACTCCGATACAAAGCAGAAATCCGCCCATGTTACATCAATTAAAGAGAAGGTTGAGTTCTGGGGAAAGGTGAACAATAATGTGTGAGCGTTTGTTATCATTCTTATTATGCAAGTGTGGAAGAACATCAAAGAAAAAAGTTATTCCCTGAAAATCTATTTCAAATGACTTCATATCCCAGATATGACAAGTAACAGCTTTAAAATGAGGCCCGATTTGTACGCCATAAGTTTGTGTAGTCCCATATCAATATCTTTCTGTGTACAGTGCTTGTTACTTTACCAAGACTGGGCCAAAGATTTTATCATTTTGATGACTCCAAAACCTTGCACTACACACCAATACTTACATGTTTATGCTAGATGATCAACCTTTTCTGATTGCTTCCACACCGTTTCTTTCACAATGCATTCGCATGACCAGAACTCAACTTTATCTTTAAATGCCAACCGCACCATCACATTTTAGAGAAGCGTGCGCTTTGCAGAGGTTCGGTTTAAATTACATCGTTATTTATAATTGTCGGAGAGTTTAAAATGGGGATGAGCTTCTGAATCGAGACGGTCTTTTACTTTTTGGAGCGGGTTATTAGTTTTCGGAGCGACTTTTTACTTTTCGTAGCGACTTCTTGATTTTCTTATTCTTACTCCAATTCCTTTGCCGCCATGAGGTGCTAAAGCTTTAGCAGAGTTCGGGGCGACCAGCCCTTATATGTAAATTTTCGTGATTCATCGTGATTATGTAACTATATTGTACTAAATGCACTACTCACTTTAACACTTGACTTTTGTCGAGAATTTCCATTTCTTCGTTTAGACTTTGTACAATATTGCAGGCTGCCACCGGCCAAACCGGTCCGTTTCACAAACATTAACACATCAACCAATTCAATATATAGAAAAGGTTAGACATTCATTATATGCGAGCCTGATCACAACGAAATAAATTTCAAAATCTATTTTCCACATTGTATTATCCTCAGGACATGTACGAAATACAACACACAGCCATTTATAAAATTTACATTATGGAAGAAAGGAATATAATAGACTAGCCCATGCAGTAGCAGTACGTCTCAACATTCTGTGTGATAAAAGTGTTGAGATATTATGACGGCATTCATTTTTTTTGCTTGTACCTCTGACATTTTTACAACTGACATTTTTTCCTCTGACATTTTTACCTCTGACATTTTTACCTCTGACATTTTTTCCTCTGACATTTTTACCTCTGACATTTTTTCCTCTGACATTTTTACCTCTGACATTTTTACCTCTGACATTTTTACCTCTGAAATTTTTTCCTCTGACATTTTTACCTCTGACATTTTTTCCTCTGACATTTTTACCTCTGACATTTTTACCTCTGACATTTTTACCTCTGACATTTTTACCTCTGACATTGTTTCCTTTTGACATTTTTACCTCTGACATTTTTACCTGGCACCAAAAATATATGTCCTATGGGAACTCAGTGTGGTAGTGCTCTGGTTCATAACATTAGGAACCAGAGCACTATAACACTGAGTTCCCATAGAACATTTATTTATTCATAGGGTCATATCTCAGCCAATACTTAATATATTCAATTGGTTTTCGACATTCGAACATTAATTTTGATGGTCTTTTGGAAAATGAAGAAAAAATTGAGAAATTCTAAAAAAAAGATTGTTATGATGGCACAGCTTCGGTACGCTATAATGTCTAGATCTGTACAATAACTTGTTATTATGTTTTCAGTGTATTTTCTCTTTACGTACAACATATATCATGATGAAAATCAACTCTCCGTTGATTCCAGGCATTTAACCGTTTTTACATCAATTACATAATTCTAATTAACTCAGTGTGCTGGGACTTATGGAAGGAGGCTGAACCCCGCCGCTCGCGCTCATAATGTGTAAAACTACCAGTACTTAGGAAAGCGTTTCCTCGCAATCAAGGAATGAGGTGGTTTCGTGGTTGTTAATGCATTTTATATATCATCTTAGAAGGAAAAACAATAACAGCACTAATAAACTCCGGGGGAAAATCCTAACCAACTTTGTTAGATAATTTTTCAAAAGACGTTGACATATTCAGGCAATTTGTGTCTGAGTTATGGTATAGATATATCTTTTAAAAGTAGCTAAACCAACAAAAGTGTTTAATTAGAAACATTATTAAATAAATGAAAATAAAGATATGTTTATAAAATGAAAGAGGGTGTCATTTGAAGGACACTTCTGCAAAGATTTCCCCCCTAAAAGAGCGTTCGAAAACAAATATTCATGAAAAAATACATAATTTGATATTCTTTCATTAATATTCGACTTCAAACATTTACAAATGTTTTACATAATGAATTTAACGGTGCAATTGAAATCTGAATAGTAAATTAAATGGTATTTGAATACAAAATTTGTTTTAATTTCATGTTATAATCTACAGTCGTGGCTATGATCTAGCAACATCATCGAAAGACACCCTTCAAGATGAGAAGGGATCCAGAGGACCTCTTCCCGACGTTCCTGACGGTTATGCCAACTACATTGGGGGTGACCAGTCACTCTATGTCGAACCATACCTCAAACAAAATGAAGATCCCATTCGAAGCTATGAAGTCTACGAAAAACCAACTTGAATACATTACTACCAGTTTTAGATTTAATGAGAACTTCATATAGGAAAACTCGACTCTTGTTTATTAGCCTTCTTTTATACTTATGCTGTTATATTTTGTGTTGTTGTTTTATTCTCATAAATTTTGATTAATCTTTCCTTCAAATGTTAGAAGTTATTTTACGCAGTCATTCCCTGTTTCTCGATAATTTACACGAATATTCACCTATGAAAATGGCATACCATTAATATCCCTCTTCTTTCTCATAATGCATTAATTGATGTCTTGGAATTCACTGAATCCACTAAATATTGTATTGTGACAACGAATTCACGTTTCTGTGAATTTTTTGCATAATTTTTTAAATAAGAATATCCTATGTTTATTATTGAAATAAGTTTAAGACAAGGTTAAACCAGTTCTGCTTTAAGTACAGTATGTAGGAGAGGTGTACATTAAGATGAAACACGCATTTATTAGTTTATTTGAATTTAAATCTAAATTTAAAAAAAAAAAACATCCGTTATAATAACAGTACATATGAACAATCATACAATGCAAATAATAATACTAATGAATGTCAACATAACAGAATAGTAATGTTGATTAAACAGTAATGGTTTTAAATACGATTTTAGGCATATATCTGCATATTTTTACATATACAAAAGATATACACGTAAATATGTGTATTACTAATATTCAGGTGAAGTTAGTAATGGGAACTATAAGTTTGCACAGGTGCTACTCGAGCCCAGTTCCAAACTTTGGGAAGATTTCTTTTTTAAATGTGTTTGTACATATGAATTTAAATCTTGTTTGTGTTTTATTTACATATATAGACAAATAATAATAGAGCATCGTGTAACCTGTTTACTTTTCTAAAAGAAAAGAAAGAAAAACGCAAAAATTTAAGAGCTAAAGTATTATAATGAAAGATAACAAATCTTTGAACAAATACAATCATCACCACATTCATGAAATGAAAAGGATTTAATAATCAAAAATAAAATCATACAGATATGCGTAAAAGTAAAAGCTTAAGGTCAACTATAATTGTAAACTGGCAAGTGCATATATAAAAAGAAGACATGTACATTCAAAGGAAAAACAAAAGGAGAGGGGGTGAGTTGGGTTTGAACCCACGTCATTTACATGAAGGTAGATGAAAAGATATTTCCGAAAAGATAACCTCGATGTCTTAATCTAATTGATTCAGGAAGATGTTGATAGAGTAAGCCACTTTCTTTTTGCCTTGTTGCATATCTGTGCTGTATCATCTGACAATAATATTAATAATTGTCTTTCTTTGACATGGGCAGGTTATTTTCAAAGTATCCGATACTATGCTGATTGATAGATTTTATACACAAGGAATCCATTAATACTAAAGGAGATATCCTCAATGAAAACAAAAGAAGAATACTTCTCGGTATTTTTTTAAGTGTTGTTTTGTTGTTGATTTTTGTAACTCGAGAATACAAATTTGACTAGTTAAACAAACCTTTTAGAAGAAAACTTTTTAAATGAAAGCTTTAATATGTCATATTCTAAAGAAAAATAAATCGGAAAAATATATTATTTACATGCTTAGTAAAATTTGCAAATGTAAACGTTGTAAGGGTATAAATAATGTACTTGTAAATGTGTACCACTCCTAGCTAGAACCTATTTTGCAAAAACTCGGTGTAGAAATAAGTAGGTGACAAATAATTAAGACATTCAATTAGAAATATATATATACGAACAGGAGATATATAAATATATGTTTAGATAAACAAACACAGAACCGAATGGAAATCATTTGTTTGCAAGGTACCCTGGATCTTTTACCAAAATGACTCGCAAAATATAAATGTATACATGCATCATATAATAATGGCGATGAAGGTAGTGGTAAGGATAATGATATTGGTGATAAAGATAATGATGATAATTATAACAATAATGATGACACAATTAATAATAATAACAATAGGCGTATTTTTCAATGTCATCCTCTGTATAATGGTATTGGAAAAAAACGCAGTATTTTTATAAATGGTTAAATAAACACCCTTTAACAATCATAGTGAATAGCAACCTCCCTCACATTAATGTTAAATGACAATGATATTGACTAATATTAATGTTAGCGATAATAATAATGATATTAGTATCACTAATATTAATACTAATTACAATTGTAAAAATTAAAAATTTAATAACTAAAATGATAATTATGATGATATTGATAGTGATAATACTAATGCTACTACTAATATTAATATTACTATTACTAATATGTTATGGAAGGATATTAATGATGACGATAATAGGATATACAACACTTCATGCTTGTGCGTTTAAGAACTAAAAGAACTTGAACATCACGAAAATGGTTTATCTTTCGATTGTTGCTTTGTTCTTCGTTACACAGGTGAATTATATATGTTTACACAGGCTTGCAACCGAAATACGACAAATGAAATTGTATAATGTAAAGAAGTAGAATAATCAGTAGTTGATATGTAGTTGTCAATCTACAGAGAATGATATAAAATAAATTACGTTCATTAGCAGAAATGACTTTATACGACTTTTAATTTCTGCGTGCGATTTTTTATATCACCACCATCCCTACGTCGAGATAATTATTATCCGCAAGTGAAAATGCTCATCCTTCTTTGCCTTCTCTGAGGTTTGAAGTTTAAGAATACCCGTACATTTATTTGAATGAAATAGTTACGGAAGATATCAAAGAAACATATTATTCCAGTGTGAGATATATCGAATTGAGAGAAAGAGAATTATATAGTGCGTATCACTATTCCTGAGACAGTATTAAAGGTGGGTCTATTGTTTCTTTCGTACGCAACACAAATTACAAGCACAAACATTAATATAATGTTGTGAATACAAAACTTGCATTTAAATTTCCTTTAGACCTGCGACTTCTCAAAGAGGGACAAACCTACTAACTGATGGTTTTGTTCAGTCTCGGTGAATATAGAATGATTGTTAAGTAAAAATAAATGTTTATAAATACACGAGTACTTTATTTTGTCCAGCTTAAGAATACTGTTCCTCAAGATTGTGTTGATTCTACATTGATCCCAGCAACATTTGAACAAATCCTGATTTCCCTGTATTATCATTATCACTTATGTATTGGGGAGATGAATTACCAATGCACAAACAATATACTTTATAGAAGGTGTCAGTAAGACTTGTCCACTTTAATAGGCTGTATCTGTGGGACAGTTTGGACGGTTAACAAGGCAACCATGCAGAGTGACCGATTGTATTAATGCAACAACATGTGATTTGTTTTATAAAATGGTGATCAGAAACTGTGATAGTAATTTATTATCCTAATATCATGTGAGATATATATTGTTTGATAACGAGTATCGGTGTAAACTAGGCGCCATTCGTTGAGGTACGCACAACCACACGCGCACATACAGTGTGAGTCAAAACAAGTTTACACCTAGACAATTGCCAATTATTTTTTAAATCATCTATGAACAGTAAATTATTATACATCTTATGAAAAAGTGTTTTATCCCGAATCATTTGATATCATTTTTGTGGGTTATGTGTTCACGCTTGGATGAACAGGAGGCATTGTTTGCGTGAGTGCAAAATTCGACTTGCGCCAAAGTTGCTTATGTGATGTTTGAATAAAACAATTGGGATTTAGGTATTAATTCGGTTTTTGCAGAAACAAATAACATCTCTCAAAAAATTAATCATACCACACCACACATCAAATATCGAAAATCAAATATCAACGAACATTTTGTGCGCGCGTGTCTGTGTGTGTGTGTGTGTGTGTGTGTGTTTGTGTGTAATTTTTGCTTCTGCAAAAACCATATGCAATGCATTTCATTTGATACATTCAATTCGTTATCTCACTCCGCTACTTTAGGCATCACTTTGGCGCAAGTCGATTTTCGCATTCTCTCAAAAAATGCCTCCCGTTCATCCAAGCGTGAACACATTCTACACAAAAGTGATACCAAATGATTTGGGATAACACACTCTTTTATAAGATGTTTAATAATTCACTGTTCATATACGATTTTAAAAATAATTAGCAATTTTCTAGGTGTAAACTTTTTTTTGACTCACACGGTATACACACACATAAACACTTGTACAACACTTTACCGCTCATCGAAAAGCTGTAGCGATCGCTGCAGCGCGAGCAAAATAATTTCTTTCCGTTCTTAGCTTATCATTTTGTTTAAATTTGCCTCTTCATTTTTTTCGATTTTTGTTTCATTAATGGCTGTATCGCGCTGTCGACAATGTTCATAGAATATGCAAAAGAGTAAAGTTCCAAGTGAAGCGGGCATTAAACTAGTCGACGGACCCGATCAGTATTCAGGCTGGGTCCAGGTCAAGCTTACACATGGCAGTTTGACTAACCTTATTACAATGTTGAACAGCTTTGCACTTAATCGTTGATGTGTTGCCGAATGTAAACACTTGCAATTGTGAAATTGTTTTCCATGGCGACACACAAACTACATGACACAGTTTTTTTGCCTCACAGCTGATACGAACACTTTTCAGATGTTAGAAACTAGGTGAGACGTTTTACCTTACTAATTTTAAATGCTGAGTATTATTTAATATTGATATTGGCTTGATTGGAGAGGAGCCACATAGTAATTCAACTGCCAACAATTTCCTTTCTTTAGGCCATTATCATTGTAACATTTTGATTTGAAATGTGCCTGAGTTATGCATAAACATGCAATCTCGTCATTTCGACAAGAATAAAGAGGATGAAGTAGTTGATTCCAATCATTATAATAATTAAGTAAGCATGATCATTGAGATCAGCATGAAATATTCATTCAATCTTGAAATGAAATGTGTTTTGCATTTTGTAAATTTGGACTACACCAATATAAGACCAACATTAAATGTTGCGTTGCTGTACTTAAAGTTGTTGATCTGCTAGCACCCCGTCCGATTCTCTCTCACACTCTCTGGTGAAACCACATATACCATACAAGCATGTAACT